TATTGGGTCGATACGTTGTGTTCGAGGATACGCAACTGGAAAGTATTTAATAATAATACAATATAATATTTATATGTATATGTATAATGTAATATGTAACAACACGCACCAATGGAGTTTCACTACCGTCGTCTTCACTGCTATTCGCTGGTGAAGTCCCCCCCCCCATATTTGATGTCTGAAAGAGGCTTTAAATTAACACCTGTCCGTCTCCACCTGTCCGTCTCTCAGAGGTGCTGATGAACACGAGACTTGAGACGTCGGAGCTTCGATGGACAAACTATCCGGCTGAAGATCTGCAGGTACGGTCGTCTGTTAGCTTGTAGCTAACAGTACCATTCATTTCAGTGGGGGATGCTAACCGCTAACCGCTCTCTGGTCTCAGTGGGACGAAGTGAGCGGGTTCGACGACGAGAAGAACAGCGTCCGGATCAACGAGATCTGCACGCCCAACAGTCCGTCCTCCTATTGGCTGAGGACCCGCTGGATCCCACAGAGGGCGGCGACCACGCTCTACGTCGAGCTCCGGTTGGTGCATTTGATTCACAGGTTGATTGACTGATTGATTGATTGATTGATTGATTGATTGGTCCATATGGGTTCTCTGCAGGTTCACGATGGTGGAATGTTCTGGTCTGAACCAGCGTCACTGTAAGGAAACCTTCAACCTGTACTACTACCAGTCGGACAGCGACGAAGCCACGCCCACCCACCCCGCCTGGATGGAGAACCCCTACGTGAAGGTTGCCACCGTCGCCGCTGACCACCTGCGGCAGAAAGGCAGCCGTGAAGGCCGGTCCAACGCCAAGGTGCTGCGCCTGGAGGGGCTGCGGGGGGCGGGGCTTTACCTGGCCTTCAGTTCGCAGGGCGCCTGCATGGCGCTACTCGCCGTACGAGTCTTCTACAGGAAGTGCTCGCCACTCCGCCGCGCCTTCGCCTCCTTCCCCGAAACCGTCCCCCATTCACTGGTGGAGCAGGTAACCTATATGTAACCATGGCAACGCTACACTTTAACCACACTATAACCACGGCAACAGTCGGGCTCCCAGCAACCAGCATAACTGGCAGTCATTTCAAAGTAAAATTACCAAAAAATCTCCATTCTAACAAAATAAGAGTACTCTGACTAAGGAACATCCTACAGTTAACCAAATAAAAGTCTGATCTTTACAAAATAAAGGTACTGTCATTTAGAGCAGCTCAGGGTTAACAAAATAAGAGCTCCATCTTTCCAAAATAAGAGCATTGTGACTGTTCTACAGCACCAACTCTGTTAATTCCCAGCCCTTACTTTGAAGCTGTCTGTTTCTGCAGGCTCAGGGTGTGTGCGTGGAGAACGCCGTGACCCCCCCTGGCGAGCACTCCCGACCTCCCAGCATGCTTTGTGGTGAAGACGGGCAGTGGGTGGGGCAGCCGACATCCAGCTGTGCCTGTCGTCCCGGATACGAGGCGGGTGACAGTGACGAGCGCTGCCGAGGTGAGCCTAGACTAACACTAGTGGAGCTGAAACAGCTGGACTCCTTTAACCTTTATCCTTCTAACCTCAGATTCAGATTCAGAACTTTATTGATCCCTTAGGTAGGGTACCTCAGGGAAATTGTTTTACCTGAACCTTTACCCTTCTACCTGCGTCCTGCTGGCAGAAGGCGGTTCTGAGTTCTGACTCCTTCTCAGCGTTCGTCGTTAAACTGCAGGAACAGCGATGAATGCTGTAAATCAGCCGTCTGACTCTGAGGAAGCATTCAGATGAAAGCGCTCTGCGAGGCGACTCACTGTGGAAGCTTCCTGTTATTCTCTGTGAGGTCGGAGGTCAGCTGACCAGGAAGTACTGCAGGGAGGGGGCGGAGCCAGAGCTGTGTAGTTGTGTGGAGGGGTCAGAGGTCAAACTGCTGCACTAACACACACACTAACACACACACTAACACACACACTAACACACACACTAACACACACACTAACACACACACTAACACACACATTAACACACACACTAACACACACACTTGGCAGCTGATGACATCCTGATTAAAGCTGCCGTCCTCCACCGTCCACCCGTCCCTCATTTGTGTCATTGTGTGTTTGCGTCTTGTTTTTAAAAAAAAATGTTGTCTCCTCATCCTGCAAATGTTGAACTATCTCCATGTCTCCAGACCTCTCTGCTCTGCTCATCAGCTTTAGNTTAACACAACATTAGCAGAACGTTAACACAACATTAGCAGAACGTTAACACAACATTAGCAGTCTTTCCTTCAGTCTGAAGACGTTCACAGTAAAAATACTGCGTTCACTGTGAGACTGAGCAGCAGCTGAACCTTCAACCTGCTGTCGGTGTGTCGTCTCCACCTCCTGCTGCTACAGTACATGTTTATTTACACTGTTCCTGTACTCAGTAGTAGTATTTCTCTACTTCGTTGCAGTACTCCTGTACTCAGATGCAGTACTCCTGTACTCAGATGCAGTATTCATGTACTCAGATGCAGTACTCCTATCAGCTCCATCTGACCAAACGTTGTGTAAACATCCTGTTGCGTTGTCATGGTGATCCTTGTATGGCCATCTTATCGCACATGCTCAGTTGACAGCGAGTGTGTGTGAGGTCTGACTCTGCTGCTCTGTGGGGACAGACCTGTGCTCGACAGGTAAAGGTGCGTTCAGCAGAATCCCTGCCATCAGTATTCAGCAGCGTCCACCTGCGTTGTCCTGTGAGCAGATCTGAAACGTCTTCGTCACAGCCGTCGTGGTTATAAAGTGGTGGCAGTTACAGTGTATGGCATTTCCTTCTGCGCCTGAACGCAGCAGCAGCAGCAGCAGCAGCAGCAGCTCTGACACTCCTGCTGCTGCTGCTGCGTTCAGGTGATCAGGTCGCTTGATGTCTGGACCACGAACAGGTAGATGAGTCAGACACTGAGGAGGGTAGCCGAGACTCAGCGAGAAGGACGGAACCAGAAGCCAGTTTAACATCTGCAGGGTCCAGACAGCTGCTGCTTTAACACGGAACCAGCGATCCGACATGGAGCAGCTGGAACACCTGTTCACCTCAGACAGGTGAGCAGCTGGAACACCTGTTCACCTCAGACAGGTGAGCTGGTCATCAGCCCAGTGTTCCAGGAGTCAGAGACAAACAGAGCTGGTCCTCATCTGGACCACTGATCAGGTTCTACTGTGGTTCTACCGCCACTGAGGGTTCTTGTCTGACTGCAAGAACACCAGCAGCACATCAGGAGAACCGTAACAGAACACTACCAGAACATTAGCAGAACGATAGCAGAATGTTTGCAGAACACTACNAACACACACATACACACACAGAGTAACACACACACAGTAACACACACACATACACACACACACACTCACACACACACACACACATACACACACAGAGTAGCACACACACACACACACACAGTAACACACACAGTAACACACACACACACACACACAGTAACACGCACCCTCACACACATAGTAACAGACACACACATACACACACAGAGTAACACACACACAGTAACACACACACATACACACACTCACACACACACACACACACACACATACACACACAGAGTAGCACACACACACACACACATACACACACACACACAGTAACACACACACAGTGACACGCACCCTCACACACATAGTAACAGACACACCCATACACACACAGAGTAGCACACACACACACACACACACACACACACACACATACACACACACAGTAACACACACACACACACACACACCTGCTGATTGTGTTCCTCTGATGACGTCTCCGGGGGCAACAGAAATCAGTAATTATTGGACCCACTACCTGTTGGTGTGTAGTTTCAGGTCACACACATGTTGTGTTTCTGAGGTGTGTGTGACCCTAAGACACTCCTGACAGCAGATTTACCTGCTCAGGTGTAACACCTGACAGTCTGAGCTCTCTGCCCCCAGGACCCCCATCAGCCCCTCGCTCCCCCGTCAGCCAGATCAACGACACCACGGTGACCCTGGAGTGGACCGAACCGCTGGACCGAGGAGGCCGAGGAGACCTCAGCTACAGAGTGCTGTGCTCCACCTGTGAGGCCGCCGCCCCCAGCAAGGTACACCAGAAAGACCAGTAAGACCAGTAAGACCAGTAAGACCAGTAAGACCAGTAACACCAGTAACAGACCAGTAACAGACCAGTAACACCAGTAACACCAGTAACATTAGTCAGCCCTGCCTCCTGTCCTCTGACTCCGCCCCACTCTCCCTGCTCCTCAGGGATTGGTCGGTTCCTGCTCGCCGTGTGATGACAGCGTCCTGTACCGGCCGGCGCAGCGCGGTCTGACGCAGCGCCGCGTCATCGTCTGGGGACTCCGCCCACACACCAAGTACATCTTCACCATCCAATCGCTGAACGGCGTCTCCGTTCTGAGCCAATCAGAGCCGGCCTCGGCCAGGGTCAACGTCACCACGAGCAGAGACGGTAACGGACTGCATTACCCAGAATCCCTCTGACACTGAAGCAACCAATCGGGTTAATTCGCTCTTTAGATCCAAAGTTATCAACACATTTTAATTCACTGTTAATGATCAAGTCACCAACAGACGTTCTGCTTCCTGTGACCTTCAAGTTAGAGTCGAAGGTCGTCTCACTGCCGTTTGGCGGCTACGTGACGGCACACTGGAGCTGCTGGTGCGTTCCTCAGAGTCAGCTTTAGACAGCGAGAAGGTAAAGAATAAAAGAAACGCGACCAAACTGTGGAGCATCACTTTATTTACTACAAACCTTCACAGAGGTTTAGTCAGTTAAAGCATGATATGAAGGAGGTATGAGAAGGAGACTAGTGAGGGAGGCCACCA